CCCAGGTCGCCCCCACCCCCAGCCCTGCATGCAGGTGCCCTCGCTCCGCCCCATCAGTCCCTGCCCCTGCCCCTCACGCAGACTGCCCTGCTGGGGCTGGGCCGGAGGGTGGAGCAGAAAGGGGACCCCGGAGCCAAGCGAGGAGGACCAGGCAGCCGCCGCTGCCGCCGCTAAGTCACCACCTGCGCTTAGGTAGGCGTCCTGCTCGCCGACTTTCAGTTCCTTGGGAGGGTGTTGGGTGTCGTCCTTTTCAAAAGTGTTTTGGAGCTTTCTGTGCCCCCCACTTTCCCCCTGCCCCCCCGTGGCCACTTTTCTCTGGATTTTAGCTGTAATGTCTTTACTCTTTATTTAGGGGTGGGGCATTCATTGTTTGGGTCTTTTGCTGTTGGAATGGGAACTCCTCCATTTGAGCAACTTGGGAACAATTTGGTAACACACCACAGGAAGTAGCTCTCCCCCCCAGCCCCCTCTTCCCTCAAGGAGGGTTGGGGGGCCTGTCCAGAGGGTCTTCAGAAGCCCCCCTGGGAGGGAGGGGAGGATGAGCACGCCCAGCTCCCCTCCAGGGTGTGACTTGGCCCCTCTGGCTTGTCTTTCTGTGCCTTACTCCTTCCTCCTGCGTCTCCCATCCCTGGCCCCTTCTCGAGTCCTTGTGCCTCTCTCTCTTTCTCTCTTTCTTCATTGTATGAAAACACAAAGCACAGGTCAGGATCCTCTGAAAGAAAATCCAACATTGCACCACGTAGGGGTGGGTTATGGGCTGTATTTATTGTGAATCTAGTTTGTGAGGCTGTGGCCCTGAGCATGCGGAGGGAGGGAAGAGAGGAGGGAGTGTCTGGGGAGGGGAGGTCAGCGACCTGGGGCCGAAGGGGCAGGCAGGTGGTGCCTGCTACCCAGCTGGAAGCCACAAGGTGGCTGACCCCAGGGGCGGCTTTTGTTGGAAATTGAGTGAAGCCCTCCCCCTGTCCTCAGCGTGCAGCCCTAGAGGACCCCAGGGCTGAGGGGCCGTGGATCCTGCGGGAGTCTCCCGGGGCGTGGGGAGTAAGGCCCCGGGGGTGGGGGGCCGGGTGGGCCGGGCGTGACGCGCGGTCAAAGTGCAATGATTTTTCAGTTCGGTTGGCTAAACAGGGTCAGAGCTGAGAGCGAAGCAGAAGGGGCTCCCTGTCCGGCTGCACATGCCCTTTCCCTCGACGACAGTCGGGGCCTCGGGTGCTGTGTGACTGTGGGAGCCAGGGTCTGCGGGGCGCCTGCCCGGGCGAGGTCGGAAGCTGCAGGCCAGCTGGGCCCGGGCCGGAGCGTGCCCAGCTGGCCTGCAGCTTCCGAGGGTGCTGGGCCCCTCCCTGGGGCCCAGCACCCCCTCCTCGCCCCATCCCCGTCTGGGTACAGGGGCGCGGCAGGGGTCCCTGGCCCCTCCCCCGCAGAGGTCAATGCCAACGAACAAAC